TGGCTATGTTTATGTATTTATAGGCTTGATTGAAAGAATAGGGGCTTGATCGAAACTTGGTGGACTAAACTAGGATTGATACGAACTTGGACAAAGTAAAATAGGAAGGAAGAAAAATTGAATTTTAGGGTTTTTCCTAAGGTGACTTTTGGCCAAAATGGGAAAGATGGAACCTTTTTTATACTTAAGGACTTAAATTTTAATGGTGAACAAATTAGGTTTGATTAGTCATTTTGAACAAAAAGGAAACTTCATATAAAATCAAAGAACATTTCTTGCAAAATTAAGAGACCCATTCGGCCCAAACTTAGGAAAAATGGGGTTTTGGGTTCCATTAAATTAATTTGAGAAGTAATGGTTCAATTAGGTCCAAATTGGAATAAAATTGAAATTAGAAAAGTAAGCTTGCCAAAGAAATCGAGATTTTGACTTAAGAACTAAATTCGGCATAAAAGTGTTAACATTGGGCTAGAAAGTAGCATTATACCTTAATATGTTGAAAATTGGTCTAAATGCTAGTAACTATGCAATTCAAGTGTGAAATGATTTAACGACTCGATTTGCTAAAGGAAACAAAAAGGAAGCATTCACGTGCATAATTAGACCCACGACTCAACCGATATCATTCGTAAGTATTTAACTTTAATGAGGTGAACATTACGACAAAGGGTATGAGAATACCCAAAACCCTATGTGGGTTGGACCTATGAAAATATATAAAATCGAATCATGTATGGGTTGGATATGTTTAATACGATAAATGTAACATCACATGCATCATGTGTATTGTGGGGCGGATTGAGAAATGTCAATTGATTGAGAATTGGTTTACATGACTAGGTTTGGTAACCTAGCAAGAAATAAATGGGTATTAGCGATCCAGCTATATGCGTGCTCTAATCTATGTGACTACACTTGTTGGGCGATGGATTCTCACTAACAATGGCTACAACGAGGGATAATTTTGTTATTAGCATTAGGTGATTCAGTAATCATCAATAGAGTAGATTTACTAATATCTAAGGTACCCGAAATTAAAATCTATGAGTATGGTGGAAAAGTCCAAAAGGTATTACATATCACGTGTATCACCCCACTTGCCGAGCTTCGACTCACCTCGTTATTATTTTCATGTTATGACGGGAAAGGGTCAAAGTAGCAAGGATGCTCGTTGGTTCCTCCTAAAGAGGGCTCATGCACGACACAAACGTAACGAAGTTTATTTTGATTGTAATTTTAGGTCGGGATGTCGATAGACATTTTAATGGTATTGTAAATAATTTGTAATTTCTTTTGTTGTATTTGTTAATGTTATGTAATTATACTATACATGTTTCATTATAATATATGTCCTTAATATATGCGCACCTACGAATTAAGGATTAAGTCGGGATTGGTCATGTCAACGTGACGCGTTCCTTGCCTAGCCACTCCTTTTTGGGTAATTAGCGAGTGGGCCAAGGAGAGGGCGCCACGGTTATGGTGGTGTTTATTTATGAAAGTGTGGTTTGTAATAGTGGTTTGATGGTTGGCTATGTGTGAGAGATTTGTAGATCTAAAAGAAGAGAAAGAACGGAGAAGAAGAGGTTGGCAGCATAATGTGAATTTTGGAGAAGATGAGCTTACACATTTTAGGATTTTAGTTTATATAAGGGTAGGTTTTTGAGAGGGCAAGCCATTTGAATTTTGGCTCGATAGGAGACGGAGTTCGTCTAACTTTTATATGTAAATCATATGTCTTTTCTTTTATTCATGCGCTTTTTCTTCTCCTTAATCAGTGCAACATTTTGAACTCCACATGACCATTTGAAAATCCTACTATAAACCATATATAATCATTACTGCCTATGTACCTTAAAATGTGAAAAAACTCTATTCAACTTACACGATTGTGTAAGATTACTACAAAAATTGTTTGCAAACCATTCTACTCAAGTGTTTTTTCTTCTTTGGAATTTGAATTGTCTTACTTTGGTTACACGGCCATGTGTATTTTGCTACACAAACCATATAAAACTCTACTTCTCGTATCTCGTTTCTCCTTTCTTTAATTTTCATTCATCTTTTAGGCATACGGACGTCCTATTTCCTTCCGTAAATCATGTATATGGCTACTGTCCGTGTTGTCTCTATCTCTTGTTTCAATTTCTAGCCTATTGTCAAACATATAAGCATGTGACTTTCTTCTATATACTTGTGTCTTTTCCCACTACTTGTTTGTCTCTCCGTTGCTCTTTGGAAATTCAACCAAATCTACACACCCAATTACCTACATTGCACATCCTTTCAATCAAGTCAAGTGTAGATAAAAATTAAACATAAAATGAAATAACCAACTTAAAATTTAAATTAAAACACAAAATTTACAAGAATCATTGATTGTCTTTCAATAAGCGTTTTTGTTTAACGTTACTCGATCGACTTTACCTTTGATCAACAAGAGGGGTATTTCATTATCAAGCTCGATCTTGAGCTTCCTTATATCTTAGCATTATCCTTATTAAGGATATTTAATTGAATCACATCACCATCAAACTGCATGGTGAGAGCTCTCTCATGAACGTTTATGTTTGTTCTTGCTTGTCTTGAGGAATGCCCTCCCTAAAAGAGAGTTACGAGGTTATAAGGGGATTTATCTCTCATCTTTGAGATGTAGAAATCTATTGGAAACATAAATTAGTTTACTCGTATAAGAACATCTTTCAATACCCCTTTGGGGTAGGCATTAGTGCAATCGGCTAGTTGTATGATCATATTTTTATTTTTCAAAGGTCCTAGATTTAGTGTAGTATATATAGAGTATGACATTATATAAATTGATGCCATCAAATATAACATGACCTTATCTATTTTCTTGTTATCAATTTGACATAGTATAGTGAAAATACCAAGATTCGTGCACTTGGAAGGGATTTTATGTTTTGAATACCACAAAAAAATTCTCCCTCATTCTTACATTTTCATTCATATTCAGCCTTCTTTTTTGGTACACAATTCCTTCAAGAACTTGGCATATCGAGACACTTGCTTTAAGGCCTTTAATAGAGATATGTTCAACTCTATTTTGCTAAATAGCTCAAAGATCTCTTTTTCTTTTTCTTCTTCAACTCTTCTTTTCTAAGCTACTTTAACCTACTAGAAAAGGGTACATGATCGATTAAAAATGAAGCAAAAGGGTCAAAATTTACATTAAGGCTTGGCGTCGCCACATCGATGGTTGTGTTCTCCTTCTCTTCCTCCATCTCTACTATTTCTTCTTTCGACACTTCGAACATCCTCTTACTTGGTTGTTCTATTTGAGTACCACTCTTTAAGGTTATTATGCTCACATTCTCTTTGGGTTTTATAATCATTTAAGACGATAATTTTTTTCTAATTTGAGTCTCTAAATAACTTACGACGATTGCCAATTGACTATTTTGATTCTTTAGATTTTGAATTCTTGATCTAGTCTTTTGCTGAAAATGTTTAGTGCTCAAAGCAAGAGATTTCACTATTTCTTTTAGAAAATTTTCAAAATGTGGTGGGGCTTGTTGTTGAAAAGACCTAGGTTGGTACCCTTATTATTGCCTTTATTGATAGAAGTTTTACCCACCTTATCTATTTTTCCCATACCTCAAGTTGGGGTGATCTCTTCAACCAAGATGGACTCGAAATGCTTAACTAATAATAAGTAATATGACTAAACAACTAATGTGCACTCTAATTAATTTAACCATATCACTATGAAACAATCATGTAAAAAATATAAAATACCGAATAAAGATAAGTTTAGAAATAAAACCAATGATCTCACAACGATTAACCAAAAGCTTCAACTTGACTCAATCAAGAATGGATTTTAGTTATTCATAATGAATTACAAAAAGAGTTTCTATGAAAAGTGATCTGCTAAAGATTGGAAAAGAGAGAGCCATACCTTACCTTTGTTATTTATACCTAAAACTAGGATTACATCATGTATGTGTATCGCCCCACATGGCCACACGACTTAACACATAAAGTTACATGGTTTGTTACTTGATATCACGCGGTATAGAGCCTTGGGAAATAAGTGTTACATGGCTTGCTAACTAGGACACATGACCGTGTGCCTTGTTCTTCATTCGATGCTCTTAAGCTTTTACTCGTGTATATTTCCTTTTCAAACCATGTTAAATCTCTTACGCCTATGTAGACTTGCCTTGCTTTAAAACACGAACATGTGGTTTTGCACCGTAAATCGTGTGCAATACCTTCCGTCGGTGTGGCTTATTTTTGCTTGAGAGTCCATATGATTTTTTTCCTTTAAGTCACACGACTAGTAGCATTTCTTTGTGATTTCACATGATCGTATGACTCTTTTAAGCTTGTTTAAAGTTTTGCTCAACCTTGCTTAGGTTTTGGCTTTCTTTTCTCTGATTCATATTTTTTCTTACAAAACTTGTAATTGTCATCTTATTCTTAAATAATATAATATAATACAATAAGTACTAAAAAATTCAATATAATGGAGCATAAAAACAATGTTAATTACGCACTCATCAATAGCCCATCCATAACCAATCCTTCTTATCCGGGTTGGGTTCGGCAAGATCAACTACTCATGAGCATCCTAATTGCCTCCCTCTCTATTGATGTTTTTCCCATGATAATAGATTGCGTTACATCTCATAATGTATGGATTATGCTAGAAACGACTCTTGCATCTCTCTAACACATGTATTATGATTTTTCATCTTGTTTTATAGAAATTACACCAAAAGCTAACTAAACCTCGTCTCTCAATTTCTTTAGCGTGTCAAAACATACGGTGATAAACTTACTATTGCTGGTCACCCTCTCCAACTAATTGATTTTAACTTATATATCTTTAAGGGCTTATCTAGAGACTTCAAGAACATCATCGACACCTTATCTACTCGATCCGAACTAGTTTCCTTTTGTTGATCCTCATCGCATGTTGCTTAGTCACGAATTTTTACATAAAGAATCTAACTCGACCTCTACTATCCCTACTCATGGCCTCTTACCCATTCCTCTTTCGCCAACTACTCCCCAAGAATGGGCGAGCACATTCCCATCCGGTCAAGGTTAGAATTTTCATGGTAGGGGTCATAGTTGGTACAACAACAATGACGGGTCATCTAAAAATTCTGATTTTAGGTGACCTTAGACTCTACTCGAATCAAAAGTACGATGCTAACTTTGTCCCTCTAGAATCATTCGACCATTCATTGCCTCCAAAGGTAATTTCAATCTTTCAATGCTTCGGCTAATCCGACCATTTTTTCTCCTACTCTATATGCTACTTCGCACTTTAATTTTTGGTGTTCGGACACTAGAGCCTCACACTATGTAACTTGTGATTTGGCCAACCTCAACTCCTATGAGCCATATCAACTCCAAGCGGGTAATGATGAGTATCTCCCAATTGCAAATATTGGCATAAGCCATATTCAAACACCTCCTAAATCTCTTGACTTACTTGGATGTTCTACATGTACCAAAATAACTTGCCCTTTACTTTCCATTAAAAGACTTGCTTCGACAATAATTTATTTTGGAAATTTCACCCCTCTAATTTTTGTCTAAAGGACCAGTGTACACGAAGCTAATTCTTTCCACTTCGAGTGATGTAGGTCTTTATATCCTATTTACTCCTTCATCTCCTTTCGGTCCTCAAGCATTTTCTATTTAGGCTTCATAAAAAATTTGGCATTCTTGGTTAGGTAAGCCGCATAATCGAGGTCTTAGTCTTATTTTATTTTACAAAATTCCATTTTAGTAAAATTTTCTCGGTTGTCTAATCTTTGCCTATCTTGCCCATTAAGAAAGGCAAATGAGATGTCTTTAAAGTCTTTTACTCATTCTAGTTCGGTTTTTTGGACTTAGTTTTTAGTGGTACGAGGTCCTTCCCCCAATGCTACTATAAATGGTCATAAATATTTTATAATATTTATTGATCGCTTTTCCAAATTCATTTGGTATTATCCTATTTATAAAAAATCGGATGTCTTTAACACTTTTATTCATTTTTAAAAACTTGTTGAAAGGCAACACAATTATAAAATTAAGCAAGTACAAACTCATTGGGGTGGCGAATTTCGTCATCTTAATGTATTTTTTCAAAATATTGGGATAACTTATTGAATAACGTGTCCATACACATGAACAAAATAGAACTGTAAAACGAAGACATCGTCACACTCGTTGAAACCGGTTTAACACTATTAGATGATGCTAATATTCCTAAAACATACCGGCATTTTGATTTTAAAACCGCTTCTATTTTTAATCAATCGCATGCCCTCGTCCGTTTCCAATTTTAAGTCTCCTTATGAAATTATTTATGGTCAAAAACTCAATTATCCATTTTTCAAAAATCTATAGGTGTTTATGTTTTTCATATTTACGACCATATAATAAACATAAAATGGATTTCGGATCAACTCCATGTGTTTTTCTCAAATATAGTCCTTATCACTTGGGTTATAGATTTCTAGATCTCGAAACGAATCATTTTTATATATCTCTTCATGTGTGATTTATTGGATCACAATTTCTTTTTTCCACTAAAAATGTTAAAACTATCTCTACACCTCGCACAATTCACTCCACCCTCGGGCTAGCCTTTCCGTCCAGACTTTCAAAATCTCCTTCTCCTCACATTGGTCTAGCTCACTCGACCCATGACTCTTCTCTTCTCCCACTTATATAACTAGCTCTCACTCCACCATCACATGTACCTCATTCGGCTCACACACACATAGCCCATACAAGGTTTACCACTAATCCTCCCAACTTGACCAACCATAGCTTGTGTCTTTAATCGACCTCGACTCAACCCATGCTTATCTTTCAATGACCCCTTTGAAAAGTAATCAGCCCACATACATCCAGCCCATTAAGTCCAAGCCAATAATCCTATAACTCCAACGGACCTAAGTCAAAACCCACTCTCCACTCGGCCCGCAACCTCTCCAAACAGTCCCTTTATCCTATCCTTTACACCGACCACAACTAAACTCACACCAATACTCACCCACAAATATCCCACTTCCCCGTTAGCTTAGCCCACTTCTCAACCCTATCTCTTGACATAGATCCAAGCAATTCATGACGAACACTAGCTTAAATCTAATTTTAGATTTAATTCGAGTATGAGACATCAAACAAAACGACCATTCTCTCATGCCTTGACCCACCAAGAACACATCCTATGGTTCTCATATTTATGACCAAGAAACCACAACCGAATGCCTCATTTTACATGTCATAATAGGCAGTCCCTAAGGCATCTTCTTGCTACTCTAAAGTAAGGAATTTCTTATCGTTGAGGAAAACAATGTCGGTCGAAATATCCGCACTTCTCAACACAAGTACATGATCCTTGGTTCCCTCTTTTCCATCTATGAATATCATTGATAGCAAGTGGGTATTTAAGATCAAGAAATATGTAGATGATTCAATATAAAGGTATAAAGATAGATTGGTTGCAAAAAGGCTTTCATCAATAGAAGGTAGGGGTGATCATTCAGCTTTTTTATTCGATTTTTTTTTCGATTAATCGAATTAATAAAAAAAATTGAACCGAATTGAAGTTTGGTTTTTCAATTAAAAACTCGAATTTTTTTGTTCAGTTTTTTTATTTTCAATTAAATCAATTTTTTATTTTTTTATTTTTTGCACCTTTTCTTTTGAATTTTGAATTTTCTCTTGGACCAAGTCGAAAAACTATTTTTTTGCAATTGTTTTTTAATTAAATCACAAATATTGATATCCTAGCAAATTTATTTTTTCATTAGTATTGACCATATTTAATTTATTTTATTTAAAAAAATTCTTTTTTCATTGATATTCCCAAATATTTATTTAATTTTTTTAACCAATAATTTTTTTAAGTTGATAAGAACATAAAATGAACAAAAAAAGCTAAATAATTAATTTTTAAAACAAAAAAGTTATTTTTTTTTCAAAACTAGAAAGACTGATTTATAATTTACTCTAGTTTTAGCATTATATCTCATTCATACTAGTTTGATCAATGGATACTCCATTTCCATGAACTTTTCTTAATTTACATATTCTTCGTTCTTATGAAACGTGGTAATTTTCGTTATCTTCATATAGAGGCCAAAATAGAGTTTTAGACGTGAGAGTGCAAATATAAAAATGAAAAAAAAAAACATTAAGGTACTAAAAAATGAAGGAAAATCGTGGAGATGATACAAAATTAATGGGTTACATAATATCTAGTATTTCCTATGAAATAATTCTCGACTTAAAGGGTATGAATAAAAAATAAAAAAATACTAGGACTAAAATCTAAAATTTCTAAAAATTGGGATGCCATGCTCACTTATTGATACATATAGTTCTAGCCTGCTTTCATACCCACTTTCATTAAGATATTTTTATTTAAGTCATCTTAGTGGTTTCTTTTTAATTTTATATATTTTTTTAATTTAATGTAATAATTTTCTAACATTTTCTATTTTTTACAATAATTTTTTTTATTGAATTTTCAAGTGATTTGAATTCCAATTTTTATTTTTTTGTTCAACCATTAGTTATACAAGACATTAGGTATATAAGAAGCTATTGAATTTAATAATTTAGTTTATAATGAATCCACATTCTCGATTTCATATGTTACCTGTCTCTTGTTTATTTACTCTACAAAGGATATTTTTCTAACAAGTTCTGCACACTGTTTTCCACGGGCCCAATGCACGTATCAAAATGGGTCCTTAGTTTGGACACACACACGCATATTGCTTGCCGGGAATATTGCAGGTATATGTAGGAGGGTGAAAGAAAAGGGCGAGATGAAAGCTTTGTGATCAAAGACGATTTGGATCTTAAGGGGTAAAGAGAAGGAGATTACAAAATGGAGGGTGCTCTTAAAATTCTCGTGCCCTCATATTGAAGAATAAATGCATTAGAAAAATGGAAAGATCATTTCCCAAAAACAAATTAATTACTGAAAGAATCATTTATTTCATAATATATATAGTATGTCTATAATTTAACAGCGAAAGAATCAATATAATGCAATCCCCAACCCCTCTCTCAATCACGACAACTATCCGATCCAATTATAAGAAACCCCAATGAGAGCTAACTTGGGCCATGACTGAAAATGACAAAGAATTGTACAAATATATATATATATATATATATATATATATATATATACGCACGCAACAAATCAAGATAACTCTACAGGCTCGAGCAATTTTCCTTTGTGCCATTAAGATGACGTTATGGAGGAGGGCATATATAGCTGTATTTGATTGGGTCCGTGTGGGTCCTTAGACAGCCTAGTATGGGTCTTGCCATCTTGGCGTGAATCTTGTGACAACTCAGATTTTGTGTCTGGTCACTTGGTGTTGACCGTTGATTGGTCCAGAGAATGGACGGCGTCGAATGGGAGTTCGACACGAAACAAAGTGTTAGTTGGCATTTCACTGTTAAGTCGGTTGACTAGTTTTTTTATAGGCACAGGTGATCTTCACCAAACCCACCATGTGGCTAGGCTATCTGTGCCCAGTGGCTGTTGGCAGCTAAGCTAGGCCCAGGCAGCACGTGAATATATGTGTATTATACTCATTAATTAGGTGAAAGTCCAATAATGCAAAAATGGATGAGAATTATAAATTAATAAAAGTAAAACAAAACACGAAAACATGTTGTAAATCATTATCACTTGCACAGTTCACTAAAACTCCATTACAGCATCTATTTTACTGTTTGTAAATAAGTTTGTCAAAAATTTTGTACTTTAATCTCTCATTTTTTAAAAAATTTTATTTCGATCTCAAACTTAGATCGTGCTGCATTCTAATTCCAGATTACTTAAAAGAAGAGAGAAACAAAAAGATAGTAAAGAGAGGAGAGGAAGACCATAAAACTCATTTCAGCCACTTCAAATATTAAACTTTCTATCAATTTGTTCATTTTGAATAATAGAATAATTAGGTGAAAGTCTAATAATGCAAAAATGGATGAGAATTATAAATTAATAAAAGTAAAACAAAACACGAAAACATGTTGTAAATCATTATTACTTGCACAGTTCACTAAAACTCCATTACAGGATCTATTTTACTCGTTTGTAAATAAGTTTGTCAAAAATTTTGTACTTTAATCTCTCATTTTTTAAAAAATTTTATTTCGATCTCAAATTTAGATCGTGCTACATTCTAATTTCAGATTACTTAAAAGAAGAGAGAAACAAAAAGATAGTAAAGAGAGGAGATGAAGACCATAAAATTCATTTCAGCCACTTCAACTATTGAACTTTCTATCAATTTGTTCATTTTGAAAAGTAGAATTTGTTTGTGGTGATTACAAATTATAAAATAGTCAAAAAAAAAAGTATATTGAGATCATAAAATATTTTGAATTTTTTTATTTAATTTAAATTTTTGTATGTATTAAAATGACCTTTGAGATTTAAAACGAATTTATTGACATTATTTTTTATGATTTTGAAGTATTTTTGAATAAAAATATGGTTGAATTTAAATTTGAAGAGGCTAAAAATTAAGACCACGACTTTTCAACTACTTTTTTTAGTGAAATTGAGTTCACCAAAAATTGTAGACGGATGACGCGTCTTCCTCTTTCTATTTGTATTTTTTTTTTAACCTGACCAAGTGTGCGGGCCTGGTGCTCTAGGCCTCCTCGCAGCGAAGCTCTCTAAGCCCAAAGACACAAACTTGCACTTTGGTTTTTTGTTTTTTATTAAGAATTTTTAGGCAAAAATTATAAAAGAATGAACATTATTATTTGTGTTTTTTATGCAGTTTAGCAAGAATAAAATATATATAATATTTTATATATTTTATAAAATTAACATATATTTTATTTTATATTACTTCTATTATTTAAAACTTATTCTTTCAATTTATCATTTTTTTATGAAAATTATCATCCAATTAATTTTTTATTTTTTATAAAATTTTATTTACTGATAAATACAATTTATTTTTCCCTACGCATGGATTTTAGAATAAAATTTTAAAAAAAATAATTATTCAAAAAAAATTGATATATTATATATCATGAATTTTTAAAAGGTAGTTGTGTGTGTGTGTGTATGTGTATTTTAGATAATTTTTATCAACCAACTAAATATGATCATGGTGTAAAAAAAAAACTATTTAATCATCATTTTTATTAAAAAAATTAAATATACATCTACACACATAACATCGATCATTTGATATGAATATTTTTTTTAATATTATAAAATTAATTTTTTTGAAATAAAATATTTTTTAAAGAAACCACCCATGAGAGGCCTAGAACGATAGGGTTATTAGACCAATTAACTCGTAGATTGTGCAGTAGGTAGATGGGATGTGGGCTGAGCATGAGTAATTAGCCAATAGTCTGTGGGCTTGACAACGAGATAGTTGGGCTGAGAAGTTTGACGAGGTGCAAAACTGGGACCTAAAAGCTATTGGCCGACGTGCTACAAGGTGGAATAGTCCATGAGAGTTTAGGATTTTTGCAAGGATGGACAAGAGACGAAAATGGGAATTCTGGTAATGGGCATTTAAGGTTAAAAACCAGTAAAAGGCCTAGAGGAAGTTACACAATCATTTGACAGTAGATCATCTATGACAACATACCATGAATGGATTGTTGAAGGAGAGCACGCATTTATCTCAGCAAAAGTAAACTCTTGTTCAGAGAATAAAACATGGCATGAGACAAAAATCTTCTCATCAGCCATATCTATACAAAAATAGCCTTTATGAATTTTGCTATAACCCAGAAAAACATATCTACAAGATCGAGGTACTAATTTAGTTATAACATATGCCTTAACCAAGGATAGCAAGCACAACAAAAAAATTTTCAAAAAATCATAATCAATATAGGTTGTTGAAATAAGACTGCATCAAGAACTTGATAAGATAAAACTAGCGTCGAAAGCCGATTAATAATATAAACTACTACATCAAAGGCATATGTCCAGAGGATTTGTGCATGATTGATCATGACTAAATT